TATTTTGTAGAGTACAAAGACACAACCACAGTATGTGGCAATGCTGCGTTTTCAGTAGTGAGTGAAGTTTTAAAAAGATCGGGGTGGCTAACATGGGATTCCTTAAAGAGCAAAAAGGTTCCAATTATTTTCTATTTGAATTTCTGGTATGAGGAGTTATTATTATTTACATTATTTCCATTCAGACTAATAAAGGTTACAGTGTTGTGGTGTATGAGCGCAAAAAACAGCAAGAAATGAAATTTTTGGGACTACGCAGGAAAAATAACGGTTAGCCATGGACTTGAATATATCGAGATTGTAGTGATTGGGAAAACATACTCTCGGGAGTCTGTTTCAAAATGCAGAGTTTCTTAGGGAGTAGCTGTTCGAATAGAACTTACGTATTGCTATATAAATACGAAAGGAATGAGGATGATGCACTCTTGTCTCCGTAATATGCCGGGTGGTGGGAGTAAGGAATGCAGCTTGTCAGAACACATGCCATGGAAGTATCGACAGAGCAGTGAGTAAGGTAGAAAATAATTCATCTCCCACATTATCTTTGTAGTTATCGCAATGTTTCGGGCGTTGTACCGCGCCGTCTTCTTCAGGTGTCCGTGGATCTGGGTAATCTCTAGGCAATTTTGAACTGAACCCTTTATTTAACGTAGGGGATTCTCTTTCCACTGTCCATATCTAGGGAATATTACGTCTTCAGAACTGCTCAATAATTGTGAGCCTTATTTCTAATGAGACAGAGTATTTTTTTTTTTACTAAATGTTCAAACAATGGCGAAAGAACCACTCAAGATAGAGTTTGTTAAATAAGTTTGTTGTGTGATCATAGGATGGGGAAGAAGGAACTAAATTATGTTTATTCGGATACTTAGACTTGAAGTGGTTAAGATTCTATAATTCGGGAAGCATCCCGTTGGGAGTCCATTTCATAAAGTAGTTTTTTTTTTTTTAAGCGTTTCACCCCAAGCAAGGCGGAAAGCCACTAGCACGCAAGGGGTTACAGAGAGTTCGAGCGAGAGAAAATAGGAGCGATAGAGGAAAGGATGAAGAGAAGGATAGGGGATAGATCAAGGCATCTGGAGATGTCGATTGACATTACATTTGAATAGTTGGAGATTATAGCTATCAGGGAAACAGGAAAAGGGGAGTGAGTTCCACAGGTGAGAGGTGCGAGACATGAAGCGTTTGGAGTAGAAGAGACGGCTAAATTGAACAGTTTCGACAGTGAAAGGTTGAGAGCGGTTGCCAGCCTAGTAGAACGCTTAAATTCATGAAGTCTGGGAACCAGCGAAAGCAGCTCATCGGAGCAGTTACCATGAGAGTATTTGTAAAAAAAAAAGACAGAGGGAGGCGATGGCACGTCTGTGAGAGAGCGGCTGCAGACGAGATGCCAGATCAGGGCCAATTACATTGCATATCCGTCTCTGGATTTTATCAAGAACCTTGAGACAAACAGAAGGGGCTCCAGACATTATATGGCAGCAATACTCGATGAAAGGGCGAATACCAATGGTATCTGATTTCGGTTCGCTCCTTGTACACGGCATAGCGGATCTTAGCTGTAAATGTCTGAGCTGGTGGAACTAGAGAACGTTGCCCGTGAGAACGTTTTTCATGGATGTTGCGAGAGTAGCGAGAGCCTTGTGACATTTTATCTGTGTGAAAGGGGTTCTAAACTGGAAGATAATTCATCGTCTATAAGTCGACTTAAACGCTTTGGAACTCTGTCAAGGCTTTACTTCCAATTAGTATACCGACAAATTCACAAATAAACGAGTTAATTTTCTTGGCTATTCTCTGGCGGGATTTTAATATCTGATACCCCATAAGTGCTATACTCTATCATTACAAGATCAGACCAGTAATAGATCATTGCTGCCATATCTGGGCTGGAACTGCCCAGTCCTCACGTGTCCGTCTTGACAGAGTTCAAAAGCGTTTACGCGACCGTGTGGGAGATGAATTATTTTCTACCTTATTCGCTGCTCTGTCGCTTTTTCTATGGCATGTGTTCCGACAAGCTGCATTCCTTACTCCCACCACCCGACATATTACGGAGACAAGAGTGCATCACCTCCATTCCTTTCGTATTTCTATAGCAATAAGTAAGTTCTATTCGAACAGCTGCTTCCCAAGAAACACTGCATTTTGAAACAGACTCCCGAGAGTATGTTTCCCCAATCACTATAATCTCGATATCTTCAAGTCCATGGTTAACCGTTATTTTGCCTGCATAGTCCCATGAACTTTATTTCTTACCCTTTCTTTCATTCATACACTACTCCGGCTCAGAGTGAACCTGGGAACACCAGCAATCAAGAGGTGGCTCCACACTTCTCAAAACCTCTTGATCAAAGGCCTTGCTGTCTTACGCAGTTTATCGTCTTACCCAGGACGCAGATGTAGTTTATCGTCATACTCAGGACGGTCGAATACGCTGGTGGAAATAAATGTCTGCTATGGTGGTCCTTCCATGTTCCAGTGGTTCGTAATGGACAAAGTGTTTCCTAGTCCCCAGACACGAAACAAGGACTTCTGTGGATGAAGTCATGCTTTGGGTGTGGCAATTGTTTTCTCATTTTGTGATAGCCACTGACACATTTTTTTCGTCGGCGGTAACTGCGCGGTGAAAAGAAAAGGTAAGACTTGAATTCATCGCTAAACAATTACTGCTGTTTTCAAGCGAAAATTTACGTAATCCAAGTTCCCTCTTTGGAATGTTTGCAATTAAACTCTTGAATGTGCTATTAGCATCTCACTGTTGGATAGAGGAGATAATAAACTAATTCCACACACAGATTCCTACCATTTAACCTTTCGTTGTTTGACTCTTAATTCATAACGGTGAAATACATACCGTAAATTGCGACGTACAAGTAGAACTGGCGAACAAGTCGACTTCAAATTTTTTAGCTCAAAATTCTTAGTTAAGCCCATACCTATTGTATAGGTCGACCCATAAATATACGATATGCTACAAATGGCCCAAAACTTAGGCCTACCATCAAATGAAGTTAGGCTACACTATAGGATAACCTGTGTCAAAACTACATAAGGTCACATCATTTACCTGTCTATTGAGATACTAACCGTAATATCTTTCTATATGAGATGTATAGCAAACAACTTAAAACAGAGACTGGTAGGTACCGTATATTGTATCGGGATAACTTAGCTAAGTTTTAGAATTCGTTAGGTCTACTGTTAAACACATTAAAGTTCAACATCAACTCCTACAAAATATTATTACTGTACATCACACATCATATCAGGTGGTTTTGAATATCACTGCTACGCATCGTTTTGTTATTGTGATTTACAGTAGTTGTTAGGAGTGTTGTCTCGCTTGTTTACAACTCGGTGGTAAAGATTTATAATTCATATCCGCCATATAAGTCGACTCCTAGTTTTGGAAATAATTTTAGGCTTGAAAACTCGACTTGTACGGCGCAATTTACGTTAAGTACTTTTTGAACATGATAATATTTCGTGTTTTCGAAATCGATACGCAATTTCAATTCACATGTCAATGCTCTACATCAGATTTTCATCTTTCAATCGAATGTGAAAATCTTAAGAAACAGAAAGATATCGTTTGAAACAAATAAAAGAATGCTGAATTGCTACGGGACATCCGTCCTTTTACATAGCAGTGAATGCTGGACAATCTCCCCACGGATGAATAGAAGGCAAGAGGAATGTGGTTCCTACAGGAGCATACTGAGAATGCCATGAACGGAGCGAATAAGCAAGGAGGAACTCTTAAGAAAAATGTTAGGACAAAGAACACAATCAGAACGGAAGAGCTGAAATTCACTTGCACGCATAAGGAGGAAAGTTAGCTTTCAAACCTTAGCCCCTGACAGAGCATATCAAAGACAAGAGAGATATAGGTAGGCAGGGAGGAACCTATTTGACGAGCTTGTACGGGTGGATGTCGGAACGAGGATGGGGGAGGCTTACTAGAGTGAGAAACACTGCTAAATGGCATAAGACGAAAAGCTTTGATCGCCCACGTAATGCAAGAACACAGCATATAGACGAAAAGAACCCTAAAATGTATAATGTAGGTGGATGTTGTTTAAACTAGAAGCTGTTTTTTAAGGCTACGGACGTTTCGTTAAGTCAATCGTCTTATCGTCTGACTCTCTGTTTTCGTGTGTGGATTGAAAAGCCAACGTGTTTTTCGTTGTAAGCGATATCGATTCTTAAGTTCTTGTTGACACTGTGGAAAATGACACTTGATAGTTAATGCCATTCTATCTTCCCGCTTCCCTGTCATTACTCCTAAAACAGAAAAAAAAACATTTCGAAACTTTGTTTACAAACAGCTGACAACAACTCGCTGATTCTTGTTACTTAACAAACACTGAGGGAAGCAAGCACCGTTCTTTACCACTAATACGGAGACAAAATGCGCTTTATAAAGACTTTCATCGCACGGCTTCTATGGCAGCACGGGAAGTGTTAGTGTTGAGTGATTGAGTATGTTACCTTCTATATGATCTGGCTTTTCGGAAAAGCAAGTTTTTTCAGCTTTATGTATCTTTCGATGCATTGACAGAAGACAAACATTTTTTTTTGCAACTTCTCGTAAGATTGTAGTGAAAGGCTTACGCATTTATCGTCCACCGTGAAGAAATATATATTTATCCAGATAAATCGTTTATGTTTGGTAGAATGAAAGAACCTTCAGGAGAAAACAGATCTTTTTTTGAAGAGAAAGAAATCATATTAGTCAATCCAGTCGGCAGTAAGCGAAATAGTGTAACCCTATCACTGTAAAGACTAATAAGCCAGTAAGTCTAAATCTCTCTTATTTAAATGATATTAATATATTGGCTGAAAATGAGTGGCTTTGGGCTGTCACCGAACGTGAATCTAGTCTTTTTTTTATATTAATACACTCAGTCACATCAAGAATTCAGTCGGTAGTTGTGGAAAAATAGAAGGGAACGACATGTTAGGCTGATCGATGGGATATCCATATAAGAGCAAAACTAACAAGACAGAAGTAAAAAGAAAAGATCTTCAGAGTTTACAGGCCAGAGATAGATAGATAGATAGATAGATAGATAATGAATAGACTAAGATAGTAAAATAGACAGATAATTTAACATAGATAAATAGATAATGAATAGACTGAGATAGATTGATAGGTAGTTAGATAGATAATGAATAGACAAAGATAGATCGATAGATTGACAGATAGATCGATAATGAATAAACTAAGATAGATAGATCGATAATGAATATACCAGATAGATAATGAATAGACCAAGATAAATAGATAGATAGATAGATAGATATGAAGAGATTAAAGATAGATAGATAGATAGATAGATAGATAGATAGATAGATAGATAGATAGATAGATATGAAGAGATTGAGATAGATAGATAGATAGATAGATAGATAGATAGATATTATACGGGTATACGCGTTCGGGTCCCCAACTTAAAAACTGACCTCGTGTCACAACTTGTCTTAGAGGGGAAACAGAGCAAATACCTAGATAGATGGATAATGAATATATTATGATAGATATATAATGAATTGACTAAGATAGACTGATAGATGACGAATAGACTAAGATAGATAATGAAGAGACCGAGATATATAGATAGATAAGTAGATAGATATAGACTGATAATGAGTAGGCTAAGAGAGAGAGAGAGAGAGAGAGAGAGAGAGAGAGAGAGAGAGAGAATGAATGAATGGACCAAGATAGATAGACAGATAGATCGATAATGAATAGACTAAGATAGATCGATAATGAATAGACTATGATAGCTAGATTGATAATGAATATACCGATATATATATATATATATATATATATATATATATATATATATATATATATAGATATCGTATTTTTTTTTTTAGATGAGGAATTATTATAATACAGTGTCCCATACTGAAATATCTGTTTTAATGGGCAAAAAAAAAAAAAAAAAAAAAAAACTGTCACAATTTTATTTTTATTAATATATTATGATACAAAACAAATAGATTTGTAAATCTTGCATCAAAACTTTATTGAAAATTTTCAAAATGTGCTCTGCCTCTATATCTGAAAATTTCACATCTGCCCTTAGCGTTGCGAAACACTTTTTGAAGCATTTCACTGCTCACTGAATGTGTTTTAATCCCAGGTAAGCTAGTGATATTTTGGCGATAAACGTTTGTTTTTATGAAACTCATGCAAAGAAATTATGTGCGGAGAGTGAGTCAACAAAGTTGAGTTCTTGTGTATTCAGTATTAATAGGATTCTGAAAGGAAATGAAAATAAAATTAAAAAAAAATTATAAAGTTATAAACAATATTTGAATTTTAGACATTTATAAACACGATGAACAGAAATAAAAGTGAGTTAAAAAAAAAAAGAAGAAAATATTCGGTTTAACTAAAATAGTTAATTATTGGACATCCTGTACAGTGTAACCCGGATATAAGAGAGTTGTCGGGGCCGGAGAAGAAGTCTCTTATATCCAGGTTTCTCTTATATCCGGGTTTCTCTTTTATCCGGGTTTGGTCTATTTTGTTTAGGTAAGTATGGGAACCCTTTGGGACCAGAGAAAATCTCTCTTATATCCGGGTCTCTTATATCCGGGTTACACTGTATATACTTTTTGATTTGGACTAGTATCATCACCTGGGATGTTATACACAAATTTTCGACTGTTGTAGACATTGGGGAATAGAATCAATGGTAAAATCTCCGACTTTGCTACTGACGCAAGGGACAGGAAGTTGGGGGGGGGATTTCGCATAAATGATGATGACTTCCGGAAGTGGCTAGCGACATTAAAATAAATTAAAAAAAAATGGCTGGCTCATATAAACGGAGACGAGTTATCTCCCCTAAGCATGGAAAGTGGAAAGAGAACAATCTATCTCCGTGAATTGAAGAGTTCTGTTCAAAATTCCGAGATGAATGTGACGACATGCATTAGAAGGAGGGCGACGTATACAATGGCTGAATCGTTGGGAGTATAACAACTAAGATGAAGATTCTGGTCCGAATAGCAAATTTTATAAAATAGAAAGAGAATAGACAATTTCTTAACAGGCAATAAAGCCTTCTCTTAGACCCTGCCCTCCACGTGGCGTCTTTATTCTCTCTCACGTCTGCGTACACAAAATCTTCCAAATGTCCGTTGAACGCTCAAAGGGAAACGAAAAGCGAATATAAACGTCATAGCGAGAAATGAAGATACGAGTCCTGGTTCCAATATATTTTGTCATTAATTTAGGGGTTCATTTGCACGATCAGGGTTGGTAGGATGGTGACGCTTGGGGCATCTTCTGCTATAAGTGTCATATCAAAGTAACATATAAGCTTTTCACCCAGCCAGCGTAACTCTGGCTCTCTCACTTACAGAGAATGGGATATGGAGAAAACAAACAAAAAAGTTATTGTATTTTTATTTTAGTGTTACTTGATTTTCATTGGTTAAGTCAAATTACTGTTTTTAAAAAGCTTTGAGCAGATATTATCTTTCGAGAGAAAACATGAGAAATTTGTTGTTTAAAAACAGTAATTTGACTTTGCTAACCAGACGCTTCCTCCGTAACTAAATGGTATAGCATGTCAGGCCAAATGAAAGTTCTGTGTAGGATACAGCTTCGATTCCTGTCGGAGGAGACATATTTTCTACGAAATTTCCCGAACAGTCAGGCCGGTAAATGTAGTTAATACTTAAACATAGAGCATTTATTTAAATAATTGTATCTATAAAAATAACGTATAAACAGAAAATGTATTAAATGATTGACGGACTTAGTCCATCCATTTCATGATATATATATATATATATATATATATATATATATATATATATTATATATATATATATATATATATATTATGTCTGTGTGCGTATCAGATCTTCCATTCATTCAATCGTAGTGGCTAACAATTTGCAGTCACTGTACAGCAAAAACTCTAACATACATACTTACGAATATATAATTTTTTAATAAAATATGTAATTGTCCGAGGTGACTTCTATCAGAAAGGAGGTAGTGATTTCATTGCCTTCGGGGTATCTTTCTGGTAGCTGTACTAAACTACTTAATGTGGTGTGAAATTTTTACCTTCTTTTCTGAGCGGTTTAGACTAACCATATCGTGGTGGCCTTGTTCAATACAAGCGTTAAATATGCAAAGTCATAACGTACTGAAAACATAATTAGGCGTAAAGATAAACAAATTAAATGATAATTATTTGTCTCATTTTTTTTTGAGGTGGTAACAGAGTGCAGTGTTCTTTGCCGGAAGTTGTGTTTTTGATAATTTTGCTTGAGAAATATGAACATTCCGATCTTCTTGCAAAATTTATTAACAGAAGACTGACCGCGTGTAGCAGATTCCGTTCTTGTCTCTTATGGATTACACAAGGTACATTAATGACAAAAATGGATAAAAAATAAATAAAGCCTAAAGAGCAAATATATTTGAAAAAAATATTATTAAAATAGATCCTGAAATTGAACACTATTTTGTGCAGTAATAGCGAGAGCCTCACACATGACACCGGAGACACGGGTCAAGAATTAGAAAAAGTTTATTGCAAAACATATCACGGGTTATCTCAGGCTTACACAATGTTAGTGAATTTTGTGCCAAAAAATATGTATTTTGGGGCCAATAACAAGATATAAAATAAGGAAAAAAAGTTAAATTCATGCACATTGTAAAAAAATTAAAAAAGATCAACTTTTCTTTCTATTACAGATAACATAATATAAATCAAGTTAACCTTGAGAGACAGAAAGTCTTTCAAAAATAAACTATATTACAAACATAAATGTAAAGTTTCTCATGTAAACAAATGCATTAGTATTCGATATTCTTTATTTACTTAAAAAGGGTAAATGCCCGAGAATTCTGAAGATAGAAAAGGGAAAATATATAGGGTAAGAAAAATAATATTTCGCACAAAAGAGATCCTCCCGTATCGCTGATGTATTTAGATAAAGGGCTTCTTTGACCTTGTAGCTCAATGCGGCTGTGAATTTGTTGTCTCTGGAATCACTGGTAATGACACGAACTTGAATCCGTTCAGCTAACTTTTCCCACAGGGCCAGAAATTTAGTCTGGAAATGACAACGTTCCCTGAAGTTAGAAATATTCGACACCTACTCGTAAGTTTTTCAATTTCTTTAGTAGCCATAACAGGTTCTTTATGATGACATGAATGACTAGTGGCGATTTCTTCCTGAACCAGAATGGGCCGGGTGTTGATTAGTCGAGAGGGTCGAGATGTCAGGCCGCCAGGATGAGTCATGTAGGCATATAGTTGAAAACATCAAAGGGGGTCAGATAAGCCGAGAGAAAATCGTGACTTCAGCAAAATTTCTTCAAAACTAGGAAATTCCACCAAGATAATACAATTTGAAATCAACAAAAAGTATTTTTATGAGTAAGCTGAAAGTAAAAGTTTTAATTCTTGATACAAGAAGGAGTAGATATTTTCTCGAATAGTTTCTACGATTGTAAATGTGATATGTCCCGGAAAGGGATATATTTGTTCGAAGTAGCAAAGTGGTTTTTGACTGCTGTAACCGGGTAGGACAATCTAGTAAGGTAACCGTAATGGACTGGTCCTCATCGTAGTCCTCCACATCAGTCTGTATTTATGGCTGACACCAGCCAATCATATTACTGTGAGAGGGAACCCAGGTGCATGCATATTCATTACATTAAAATGTTTTCTAGGAACTTCTACGATTGTAGGTATTTATCTGTTACCATTGTAAGCATTTTCTCAGATAGCTTCTACAATAGTTGATATTTCTTTAGATAGTTTTTACGGTCTTTTAATCAATTCACCCCCAAGGAAGGCGAAAATGCCACTAAGACGCAAGGGGCTACTCGGTGTGAAAGAGAATAGAGACATTTAAAAGGAACCGGAAACCCTATTCTAGATAGGAAAAGACAGATAAACCTCTACTCCTGTTCAAAAGACCAGGGAGGAATGTTAACCAGATGTTAGGTAGACCTATCTATTCCTTTTGAGAATAAATAAATAGGAAAATTTTAGGCGGCGACGTAAGAAGTATAGGGTTGAAGTAGACTTTAGCAGGCACCGAAAACCTAACCCTAAACAGTAAAGAAATGATAAATCTCTATTCCTGTTCAAAAGACCGGAAAGTTGCGGGAATTGGACGATAGGCGAACCTATCTACTCCCGTTGGGAAAAACAATAAAAAATATAGTAAATTATTTTCTCCGACAGCTTCTGCCACTGTATTTTCCTGGGTATCTTTTAAGATTGTAAATTTTTTCTTGGCGTGCTTTTTACAGTTGCAACTATATTGTTGAAGAGTTTGTTTTTTTTATTCTTCGGGGGTCTGTCAACATTGTTCATATCACTGTATGTTCATTTCTGTGTTATTTATTAAAGAAAATGTAAAAGCGATTTTAAATAAATAAGAACTGAATTCAGAATTAAGAAAAGATTTGATTTCTTTTGCGCAAGTGAAAATGCTCTGATAAAATATAAATAAGCATATAAATTTTTATAACATTTGTTCACTTAAATTACGTATCAGACCTTCTTTCTTTCTTTTCTTCTTTTTCATTCGTTTTTTTTTTTAAAAAAATTTTTATAATGATACGTTCGTACTTACTTTTTACTTTTTTTGCAGTGTTATTTTTTTCTTTCTTTTTTCCGATGTACCTTTTCCATTCGAATTTTTGCTGATTTTTTTTCTTCCTTCTTTTGCGTCATTATGGTGTTTTTTTTCTTTCTTGTGTCATTCTTTTTCTTCGTGTCTCTAGTCTACGTTATTTCTTCTTTTCTTTTCTGTCTTTTTCTCAATTTACTAATTTCGTTCTTTCCTTTTCTTGTCATTTTTTAAAATTAATATCATTTTTATTTTTCCATTTCTGTTCCTTCTTTTTCTGTTTCGTTTGTAAAATAATGGATTCTTTCTTTCTCCTATTCTTTCCTAATTCCTATATTTTTCTGTCTAAAATAACGGGTTATTTTTTTTTACGTTTCTCTTTCTTTCTTTTCCTTATTTTTTTTTATTGCTTTGATATTTCAGAGTTATTTTTATTTTATTTTAGTATTCTTTCTTAATCTTTCTTTCTTTTTTCTTTTTTTCTTTTTTCTTTCTTTCTTTTTTCTTTTCCTTTCTCTAACTTCATTCTTTGTTATTCCAATCCCTCTTTATCGGTCTTTATAATAGAGCTCTCTCTTTTTTTTCTTTACTTTGACATCCTTCCTTCATTCTTTTTGTTTTTTTTCTCTTTTATAATGATACACTCGTATTTAGATTTTTGTTCTTTTTCAGTATTCCTTACCTTTTCTCATTTCCGCTTTCTTTCTTTCTTTCTTTCTTTCTTTCTTTCTTTCTTTCTTTCTTTCCTTCATTTTTCCTTCCTTCCTTCTTTCTTTCTTTCTTTCTTTCTTTCTTTCTTTCTTTCCTTCCTTTTTCATTCTTTCCTTCCTTCCTTTCTTTCTCTCTTTCCTTTTTCCTTCCTTCCTTCATTTTTCCTTCTTTCTTTCTTTCTTTCTTTCTTTTTCATTCTTTCATTCTTTTTTTCCTTCTTTCCTTCCTTCCTTTCTCCATTTTTTCCTCCATTCTTTCTTTCTTTCTTTCCTTCCTTCCATTTTTCCTACCTTCCTTCCTTCCTTTCTTCTTTCTTTCTTTCTTTCTTTCTTTCTTTTTTCATTTATTCCATCTTTCTTTCCTTCTTTCCTTCCTTCCTTCCTTTCTCTCTTTCTTTCCTTCATTCTTTCTTTCTTTCCTTCCTTCCATTTTTCCTTCCTTCCTTTTTCCTTTCCTTTTTTCATTCTTTCCTTCTTTCTTCCTTTCCTTCCTTCCTTTCTTCCTTCCTTTTTTCCTTCTTTCCTTCCTTCCTTTCTCCATTTTTTCCTTCATTCTTTCTTTCCTTCCTTCCATTTTTTCCTTCCTTTCTTTTTCCTTCCTTCCTTCTTTCTTTCCTTTTTTCATTCTTTCCTACTTTCTTCCTTTCCTTCCTTCCTTCCTTCCTTTCTTCCTTCCTTTTTCCTTCTTTCCTTCCTTCCTTCCTTCCTTTCTCCATTTTTTCCTTCATTCTTTCTTTCTTTCCTTCCTTTCATTTTTTCCTTCCTTCCTTCCTTCCTTCCTTCCTTCCTTCTTTCCTTTTTTTTTTTTTTTCATCATTCTTTCCTTCCTTCCTTCCTTCCTTCCTTCCTTCCTTCCTTCCTTCCTTCCTCTCTTTCTTTCCTTCATTCTTTCTTTCTTTCCTTCCTTCCATTTTTCCTTCCTTCCTTTTTCCTTCCTTCCTTCTTTTTTTCTTTCCTTTTTTCATTCTTTCCTTCTTTCTTCCTTTCCTTCCTTCCTTTCTTCCTTTTTTCCTTCCTTCTTTCCTTCCTTTTTTCATTTTTCCTTCTTCCTTTCCTTCTTTCTTCCTTTCCTTCTTTCTTTCCTTCCTTCTTTCATTCCTTCTTTCCTTCCTTCCTTCCTTCCTTCCTTCCTTCCTTCCTTCACATTAGACAAAATAATAACACGGGGTAGAATTCCATGTATTAAAAACCACCATCATCACCACCAGCACCACCATCACCGCCATCATCATCATCATCATCATCATCATCATTTCTGTGCCATTCCACTTAAGGATGTGGCCGATCTTAGCCCTCTCCTGTTTCTCTAAGCAACCTTTGACACTTTACCACCCTCTTTGTTCTTGCTCTCTCTCTCACTCACTCACAAAACAAAATTTGATAAGTCGCTCGCTGTTTCGTTCTCTCCATCTTTCACTCAATACATCCTATCCTCCTATTTTCATAATGAGCCACCGAAATTTCAAGTTTCTTTTTCTCATTTTAAGCTACATCAATAAATTCGTGTCACGCGTTTCGTAAGCCATTAGTGTCTTAAGGGTGCCACATGTACTACAGTCATACCAATCGTGATGTGTCTCGAGTAATGAGACCTGACGAAGCCCATCCCTCTTCAGTTTGGTTGTAAATCCAGATTTTTCTTTCTCTTAGAATGTTTTGACTCCAAAGTTTTCCATATCTTGAACTGACGTTTGCAGAACCCAGTCTCGTAACTGAAGCGAGAACAGGTAGATATTCAAACCTTTCTAAGGGTATTTGTGAGAAAGCGAATGTAACAAATTCGGTTGGGGTTTGAACTCGCCGATAACCACTACGCTACACTCACGGCCATACAAATAAATTATATCTGGTTGGAATAGAAGTTCTTGTAAAAAAAATATTAGAAAAGATTTGATGAAATATGCCAATGAAATGATGCATGGAAAAAAAGCGTTCTAAATTGCTTATAATTTATTATACTAATAAATTTTGATCAATTTAATATATATATATATTTTATCATACTTCATTATTGGCGTATTTCTTTCCATTTTTTCTTTTTCTTTTTTTTTTCTCAATATATTTATTTTCTTTATTATCTATCGCCGCCATTATTCTCCAGGGATACAAAATGAATACACAAGTTAATAAAAAAAGTCAACCGACTCTTAAAATCTATTCATTTAAAGTTCTATATCTGAGAAAGACGATAAAAATAAAACTTATTTATTATGCGCAGAAAATATGCAATTTGGTAACATGGAATTTTTGTATTTGTTGTCTTGGAGAATAAGCTAATTAAAGTAGGTAAATATTGAGTCTTTTTTTGTATTTCATTCCCCAGCAGTGGTTATCGTGAACAACCCACTTTATCTGACACTGAAAGCAAGAGATTGATTAAATTTTTACCAGCTTTAAATTGAATTTTTCGTTTTTTTTTGCCTTCTGTTCAAACAGTAACAACAAAGATTATCAAAGATAGAATAGCGGGTAGCTTGCCATTACCCAAGGTGAACGGAAATAATTCGGTTCATTAATCTGATTTAGAAGTTAATTCCTCCTCCTCCTTATCATCATCATCATAGCCGATAGAAGTGACTAGAAAAGGACGGAGTCGAGATAGACAGAAAGGACAAGACAATGAGGGGGGGGGGGTGAAACGGACAAAAATGATCAGAAAAAAAAAAGAATGTCGAGATGGGAAGAAATGGCTGGAAAAAGATGAGCCGAGATGGACGGAAATAACAAGAATAAGATGGCGTTGAGATGGACGTAAATAACTAGAGAATGATGGTGTCGAAATAGACGGAAATGGATAGAAAAATTGGTGGTCGAGGTGGATAGAAATGACGAAAAATAAAGTAATAGTCAAGACAGACAGCAATGCATGTCTTTCTACTTTCCAATTTGTTCAGATCCTCGTTGTTCATATGTTCCGTCCATGGTATTCTCAGAGTTCTGCTACAGAACCGCATATCTGCCAACTTAAGTTCTCGTTTCTTCTGTGAAGAAACTGTCCACCATTCAAATATATAAGAGATCTGATATTACAAAACATTTCAGTACTGCTTTCTTTGTTTTTAATGATATTTTTCCTCTTTCTTAATGTTTCGTTTAGTTTCGGAAAATCGTCTTTCGGTGTTTCGAATCACTGCGACGAATTCTTAAGGAAAATGAGAACAAAAAGACACTTAGAATGAGATGTATAAAATTTCTGGGACACAGGAAAGAAGGCACAAAAAATCTGACACTCACGGGGAATATCGTAGTCCAAAAAGACAAGGAAAACAGCGAATAATATAAAATCATGTGTGAATGAATATCAGAAAAGGGTGTGGGAAGGATAGTAAAAAGAGAAACCTTACTAAGAGTTGAAAAGGATAGGAAGTTGGGAAGAGCTGTGATCGTTGGGGATAGCTATATTTTTTACCACAACTTAGAAAATATTATTAGGCTTTTGGTTTTAAAATTCTATTGATTTTAATCAATGTTTCGTGTCTTTTATAATGAGCTTTTCACAGAACTGGCAGTGTAATTACTTTACTTTGCACATATGTTCTGCTAGTTTTAATTTAGTTGTTTTACTTCGGACAATGGCCGCTGATTTCTGTCTTGGATTCCTTGCCAAATTTACCAAAAGTTTTTTTTCATAATCAAGTTATTTGCGTGTAGAAGAGTTATTGCGACGTAACACAACAATGAGCGTTTCTAATTTAGTCTGGCAATTTTCGACAAGCATTAGCTTGGGACTTTGGGATTACTTGTTTAGCTAAATAGGCTTTTCGTCTTAAGGAGTGAAACAGGCTGTTTGTCCGTTGTGAACAAAGAATTATGTGTTTTTTTTTCTTCATTCCGCTTACTGAAGCCATTAAGAAACATTTAAAAAATCGGCATTGACGCAGTTGTAAACAATTCTTAGTGAAGAACCTTTATTGCATCTTACGTCTGGGCCTGTTCGGGAAAAAAACCCCAGCATACTTGGCTTGTGGACAACAGTTATCATCTGTAAAAGATGGCATGATTCCAACCTTTCCTTCGCTATATGCTCAACATTGTTATGTTCAAAACGCAGTAACAAGCCGGAAGTGATACAATAATGACAGAAAGTTGGTTTTCCGAGTATACTCTTCTGTTTTTTTAGAGGGTTGCTGAATGAAGTGGTTGATATGAATATAAGAGGAAGTAGAATGAAGTGAATGACAGATAGCGATTGACCTTTGACATGAAGAAGTTAAGAGTGTAGTGTTGAGGGAAACATTCACATTTACTTAATTGTTTGTTGTTGATTTTGATTATTATTATTTCATTTATTTGTGTTTATGTCTGTATTCGTAGTATTTTTTTGTTCATTATTTAATTAATTTGTTTACTTATTAAGATTTTTGTTTATTGATTTCATTCTTTTCAGGGGTTGGTTATCGTATTTTTTTAGTATTGGCTTTGTCTAAAATATGCTACATTATCTATGTTGTATAAGAAAATGCAAATATATGCACTGTATACATTATATACAGTGCATATATTTGCATTTTCATTGTGGCTTTTTACAATGTATACGTTTTTAGTTTTCGATTTTTAAGTCACGTAGAAAAAATTGTTTTCTGTGCCTACATTGGTTTGTTTTGTTTTACGGCATATCAACCTCAATGGGTTATTTAATGCCGACAATTTTTTTTTTTATTGCTGGTAATATTTTTTTCAAAAAAGTATTGTTGATAATATTTTTTTCTCTTCAAAAATCTATAGCTGGTAATATTTTTTTTTCAAAAATGTATTGCTGTTAATAATGCATTTCTGGTAATAATTTTTTTACAAAAAAGTATTTCTGTTTTTAAAACCTGTTTTTACATCTTCATGCTGTTTTAAACCCAGTTTAGGGGTTAATTATTTACCCATAGCTGGGTCCCTAACAGGTGATGCCAGGTGGACCTGAGAACAGCAGCAATTAAGAGGTGGTTCGACGCTCTTCAAAACCTTTTCATCAAATTCCTTGGTGTCGCATGTAGTTTATCATGTTACCCAAGACGCGGATGTAGTTTATCGTCATACCCAGGACGGTCTGTGTCTACATATACGAGATAAGTTCTGATCGTTATTTTATTAATTTGTGTTTGTCTGGGAAGGTGCTTACAGTTATTTCCTCCTCCAGGCAAAGTTTACAGTTTTTTGATTTATTGTTGTAGGCTGATGCTGTTTTCTTTATTTTTCATCATATTTTTGGTGTAATTTGGTTTTTAATCTCCCATATATGTCTAGAAAGCATTGTGCTGCTCACATCTTTGCTGACTTAGGATTTCGATTTTTTTTAATCATTTCACCCCAAGTGAGGTGATTCTTTAGGAGTGAAAGAGAATGAGAAGACTTTAGTGAGGATAAGTAAGGAGAAAAGAACAGAACGTAGAAAGCCATACGATTGTAGTTGGCAGGGAAGCAAGAAATCGGAAGGGAACTCTACAGGCGAGAAGTTGGTTGGTTGGTTGATTTTGTTTAGCGACATATCAACCATTATGGGTTAGTCGACTACAGATAAAATGTTTTTTTTGATCATGTAATGTTGGTCTTTATTTATTTTATTTTTATTGCTGGTATTTTTACTATTCAAATATATTTTTATAATTTTATAGTATTTTGATTTTGTTTAGGGGTTCTCTATTTGTCCATAGCTGGGAGCATAACAAGTGCTATCACCCTGGGTCAGAATGAAACTGGGAATAACATCAATTAAGAGGTGGTTCCAGTCGCCTAAAAAAACCTCCAATCCCTCGAGCAGATGCCTTGCTGCCGGGTGTAGTTTATCGTCATACTCAGGACTGCAGGCTAGGAGTGTGAGAAAAGAAATTATTTTGGAACATTTTAGAACAAAAGAAACTGTTTCATCTAGTTAGTTTAACTCTAAAATGGCGAGACCTAGTTGCCAATCTAGTAGAACGTTTAAATCCATGCAGTCGACGTACCGATGACTTGTAATTTCGATTTTTTTTAATCATTTCACGCCAAGTAAAGTGATTCTTTGGGAGCGAAGAAAATGAAAAGACTTTAGTGAGGATAAGTAAGAAGAAAAGAACAGAACACAGAAAGCCAGAAGATTGTAGTTGGCAGGGAAGAAAGAAATTGGAAAGGAACACAGCAGGCGAGAAGTTGATTGTTTTATCGACATATCAAACACTATGATATATTTAATGCCGAAATCTAAATCATTATGACACAATCTTATGGTTTCAACTAAATATATTTCGAACGCAATTGTATGCCACCAATTACAGATAAAATGTATTGTTGGTCACGTATTTTCGGTGTTTATTCTGTTTTTATTGCCGGCATTTTTACTATTAAAATGTATTTCTATAATTTCATAGTGTCTTGTTTTTGTTTGAGGTTCCCTATTTACACATAGCTGCGACCCTAACAGGTGCTACCATCCAGGGTTAGGGTGGACATGAGAAGAACAGCGATTAAGAGGTGGTTCCAGTCTCTTCAAAATCTCAAACCTCCCGATCAGACGCCTTGCTACCGGGTGTAGTTTATCGCCATATACAGGAAGGCAGGAGAAAAGAAAGTATTTTAGAAGAAAACAAAAGTTTCATCTCGTTCAACACTAAAACGGTGAGACCCAGATTCCAATTTAGTAGAACATTTAAATTCCTGCAGTCGATGCACCGACGAGGAAAGCTCATCAAATCAATTGCCATGAAAATATTTTTTTTTAGAAAAGACAAAATGAAGCCCCGTCACGTCGTTGAGAACATGATTAATGTCAAGATGTCAGGTCAGGATCTATTACATTAGAGGCCCTTCTTTGAATCTTGTACATCGTATATATATATATATATATATATATATATATATATATATATATATATATATACTCTCTACCGTCGAATTCGACGTATGAGGTTCAAGCAGATCAGTTCCGAGGAAATCGACAGCCCAACAAAAGCACATGAGATTTGATTATAGTGGTGAAGGCTTCGTGCTGAACCATCCACACTTTTTGAAGGGCCGAATACAGAGACGTGATACACTAAGTGCTACAAGGTCCCCAAACGACCCTCCGCCGGTTTCTGAATTCAGAGTTGTTTTTCTCTTAGACCAGTTGCCATCCAAGGCTATAGAACCCAGTCTGTCCTATTATTTACCCATAGCTGGAGGGAGAAGAAGAGGATTAATACCTTTCCCAAGGATATTAGCACGTGAATTTAATGGATTAATATATATATATATATATATATATATATATATATATATATATATATATATATATGAAAATTTCTCCGATTTAACCAGTAGAGAAGACAATATTTATGAATAAAAATGACAATAGGAAAACTAGTTATTGCTGACGCGTTGAAAGTCTACATTGGACGAAACGCGTCAGTAATAACTAATTTTCCTATTGTCATTTTTATTCATATATATATATATATATATATATATATATATATATATAGCAAGAGCATCAAATCAGATATGACAGCAATATTAAATGTACGGACGAATGGTAGATTTATAAATGTGCAAGATGGATTCTGATGAGATAAAATGTCTGGCACGGCACACTGAACCAACTTGCTTACCAGGAGACCTAGCAGTTAATTCAATAAAATAACTTCACTTTATATCAGTGCCAAACCATTAACTTTTCATCATCACCTAACTGATCCCAAATTACCACCAGTCAGGAATGGTACCACTCCCATTGAAGCTCCTTGATTTGAGCCACTTTTGGAATTCTAGTTTATCGTAGACTTCAGGTTGAACTCATGCGATTCATCGGTAAATACAATGGAAGCGTAAAGGGTTGCTACTTTATTGATCAGACTCCTGAGAGGGTACTTCTCCAAACACTACAATTTTAACCTCTTCATGTCTAAAGTTAACCGTTACCTATACCACATAAACTCATATTTTTATCTCCTCCTGCTGTTTTCATACAGCAACCTCTTTTCGTAACTGGAGTGGCTCTTGGGTCATGGGTTACATAAACATTTATTAGATAAGAAATCGATCTATCTGGGGGTCTGGTGTAGTGTTTCAACCTTATCTTGTGTTGAACTAAAATAAGCTTGTAAATATGCATTTTGTGTCTACATTGGTGGATGGATTAATTGCGTTTTTACCTGGGGGGAATCTAGTAATTCGTGCGACAATTCCCGCGAGAGGCGGGCCTCTCTCACTGCAATTCATTTCTGTCTTTGTTGGAGATAAACTAAGATGAGTAATGTTCAATTACGGGACCAGCACAGACAATCCGATCCCATTTGAACTCGAAGATATTTATAGACATATCGACATTGTAATACGCCATTTGATTCGCATATATTTTTATCTGGTTATCCAAATGCATTCACAGTATCAGTAAGAAACGAAGACAAAGATGATTGAAAAGTCGCTACCTATTTTTACATTTTCGTATCTCGTTTTGCTCTTAGATTAAGAACAATAATAAATTGAACGTCGGACGAAGACATTTCGATAAAGCCGGGCTTACTTAGAGTCAAATATTGAAAAAACATGTCTCAAAATACGCTGCTAGTCACGATCCTAGCCTATGTTTGGAAAGGTGTTGTGCAATTCAACTGGTGGTGGGAATACAGTGCTTTGTACATTGACTCAGGTGAGTCGATGCTGAAGTGTTCTCTCCTGGGCGCAGGTCCGGGCTGGATTTTTAATTAATTTCTTTCTTTCTTTTTTTAAAATTTCGCATGGGACTTCAACAGTAGCCTGTTCAAATTGTCTTTCTCTCTCTCTCTCTCTCTCTCTCTCTCTCTCTCTCTTTACGCCACCTGTCTTGTACAAGGTTGAATCCTACAATACTTGAAAGTGACGTCATATCAGGAGTTGCCAGCGATTGGATGCAACGTCGGACTGCCTTTGGGCTCCCACTTCCAAATTTTATCTCCCTGGTTCATTTACGAAGCCTTTTCAATGGCCGCAAGACAACGGAGGTTGGAAATCAGTGTTTTCCTTCTCTTACAAGGACTGCGCTCCGACGCTAAAGAGTTCTACCTGATTGAAGAATCTATCATATCTTTATCATGCGTAATAGTCACATATTGTTATTAAAAAAACCTCTGGGTGTTTTGTGCCTTAACTTCTGAAACGCATCTTTTTTTATTTTCATATTATTGCTAACGCAGCACAAGGCCCAAGAGCCACTCGTTGTAGAAGGTTACTGAATAAAGTTGTTGCATGGCTGTAAGAAGAGGATATACGAAGTGTATATTATGACGATACAGAGGGTAGAGAACGATTGACTGTAGAACTGAAGAAGTTAAGATTGTAATGATCGGGGAAGCATCATCTCGGGAGTCTGTTCGACAATTTCTGTGAGCAGCTCTTGAGAAGTTTCCTGAATCAAACTTCGTCCTTACCAATTGAATACGAAGAGACTAAGGATAAGTCGATCCTGTGAACGTGGCGCGGCAGTTCTCAGTGATGAAGATTTATTTTGGTGGAACTCAGGAATGAAGCTCGGCTCAACCGCTGTCATGATAATAGCGATGGAGTAGCGAGGGGCTAGCAACGTTTCCTTTGTGGGGAAGAGCTTGTAGCGTAGCAAATATTTCATCATCTACAAGGACGCGTAAACGATTTTGTATTCTTTCAAGTAACGACAACGCAGATATTTCAGTAATAACACATTTCTCGTCTGAACTGACTCTTCTAAAGATACAGCACAGGCAAAGGAGTCAGATGCTTTCTTGAGCGGTACAAGGAATCGGCCATCTTATCAGCATCTTTAGTGATGTATCGTATATACGAATTCAATTCATGGTCTTATTTAGTTTGGTTTGGTTTATTTTGTTTTACGGCAGTGTGTTATTTAATGAGTACAAGATTTTTAGGATAGGTTCAGATGAATAGAATATGTATTAATATATATTTTTTTTTCAAAAATATATTCCTGGTAATATTTTTTTTCAAAAATACACTGCTGGTAATATTTCTTTTTTCCAAAAATGTATGGTAGGTAATTTTTTCTCTCTAAAACGTATGGCTGGTAATTCTTTTTTATTTTTAAAAATATATTGCTAGCAATATTTTTTTCAAAAATGTATTGCTGGTAATTTTTTTTTTATTTCCAGAAATGTATTGCTGGTAATATATTTTTTAAAAATGTAATGCTGGTATTTTTACCATAAAAATCTATTTCATTGACCACATTTTTTTACCCCATCTGTTAGGCTTTCAATGTTAGCTGGGAGCCTAACAGGAGCTACCACCACGGGTTAGGGTGAAACTGAGAACAACAGCAATTAAGAGGTGGTTTCACGCTCTTCAAAACATCCAGATAAGAGGATTTGCTGTCGGATGTAGTTTATCGTCATACCCAGGACGGCCTGTGTCTACATATTGAGATAGGTTCTGATCGTTTATTTACTAATTCGTGTTTGTCTGGGAAGGTGCTTGCAGTTATTTCCTCCTCCAGGCAGAGTTTACAGTTTTTGGATTTATTGTTGTAGGCTGATAATATTTTCTTTATTTTCCATCATATTTTTGGTGTCATTTGTTTTTTTTAACTCCCATATATGTTTAGAAAGCATTGTGCTGCTCACATCTTTGATGACTTGTGATTTCGATTTTTTTTAATCAATTCACCCCAAGTGAGGTGATTTTTTGGGAGTGAAAGAAGATGAGAAGACTTTAGTGAGGATAAGTAAGGAGAAAAGAACAGAACTTAGAAAGCCATACGATTGTAGTTGGTAGGGAAGCAAGAAATCGAAATCAAGGAGTTTTATTGAGAGTACAATTATTTATTATGACTGGAGAAAACTTAAAGTGTGTTCGGTAATGATGAAAAGTTACTAGCTTGTTTTGTTTTCAATTGAATGTTACAAGTCAGTTCCTTCCCATTGAGCTGTGAGAGCTAGGTCAGAGGATAAATCAGCTACGAGGCTCTGGTTATCTCGAATTTTGAAGGTACACCTTTTTTAAAATAATTTCACCCCAAGCAAATAAGTAAAGCCACGAAGACAAAAGTGGTTACTGAGTGTGAAAGAATAAGAAAAAAATTATTAAAGAGCGGGAACAATAAATGAAGCGGGATCAAGAAGAGAGTAGATGACGATTGCCCCTGCATTTAATGTTTTAAATATCAAAGCTAGCTGGAAAGTAATAAGCCGGAAGAGATTGGCACGAGCGAAAAGTGCGATAGGAGTAACTGTTAGCATAGAACTTAGGGTTGCATTTAGCCAGTTCAACGGTAAATTGATGAAAAGATGTTACCAATCTACTAGCATGCTTAAATACATAAAGTCTAGGTATCACAGAGGAAAGTGATATTTATTTTTGAAAATACAAAAAAAAAAAAAAAAAAAAAATGTGTCACAAAGCGAAAAGGGGGATGGGGAAGGCTGTTCTTCATTTGTCTTATATTCAAATTTAGCTAACAGCAATTACTGACCTAAACATACCACAGTATTCCTTACACCAAAACAACACATTCCCATTTAACGTTCTTACTACAGTCACTGTAATACCTCAGTGTCTCTATGAACTCTGGGGTTTATGGGGATCGATCCTAGTAGCATAGATGAAAGTTCACAGCCCAATTACCATGAAAGTATTTATAGAAAGCATTCGTCTTTTATCCTTTCCTCATTCCCTCTATACACTTTTTCTTTCACTTTCACTCTATCTACCCACTGCGAATCAGTGGTACTCTCGCTTTGCTTAGGGTGAAATGCTTAAAAAGACATAGGTACAGTACGGCGGTAGGGAAATGATTGAAGAAGTATATTTTCAGTCCAGTAGCTGTTATCGCTCTTTTCAATATGGATGGAGGTTTTATTTGAAGTAGTGTGAAAGCGTCAATATCTTGATTATATCATTATTTTCTTTTTGAGTTGCATGTGCTATCCATCCTACTTTTTGCTGCTGGTGAATGTCCTCAAGTGATCTGGTTTCTGTTACTTGGTACAGTTCTTTGTGATTCTGTAATGCCAGTCCACAGGCTTCAATTGCTCATAGACATTTTTAATCGTTGTTCTGAGAGAGCAGTTGTATACAGCTGACAGTTTAGATATTTCTTAACGAGTTTAGCATCATGTGAAACTTTCAATCTTACGAGGCATTATAAGTACATAACTTGATCAGATTAATGTTTTGGTGTTGTAGCAATTGGCGGTGTTGGTCGAAACTATCTCTAGCTTAGCGTCTTCTATGTTTATCCTTATCTTCTATATATGTTATAATTTGTCCATACATCGAAGTGTTTGAAGTGTTTCGTAAACAATAGAACTGAAATGATATTGAAAAGCTTTCTGGCCTCGGATTTTTCTATGTTGTGTCTTTTTCTATTAATATTATTTGTATGAATATTTTTGATGTGTCATGAACTTCTTTCTGAAATAAAGTAAATATAGACGCGAATATTGCATACATCGCTTATCATTTTTGGTAATTAATTCAACATCCGCTTATCACTGTGTGTCTTTGTTTATTTTTGGTTTGTATTGACATTGTTGTAAACTAGAGAAGGTTACTGAAGGTTGGTAATGAACGATAATACTTAGGACAAGAACAACACGTATAAGATTCGCCAGCGGCGCGTAGAAGTTTTTTTTTTAAGCATTTCACCCCAAGCAAGACGGGAAGCCACTAGGACGCAAGGGGTTACAGAAAATTTAGAGCAAGATCAGATAGGAGTGATAGAAGAAAGGATGAGGGTAGTGGATAGATCAAGGCAACTGGAGATGTTGATTGACATTACACTTGAATAGCTGGAGATTATAGCTCACAGGGAAACAGGAGAAGGGAAAGGAGTTCCACAGGCTAGAGGTGCGAGACATGAAGCTATTAGAGTAGAAGAGACGGCTATATTTAGGAGTTTCGACAGTGAAGGGGTGAGAGCGGGATGCCAGCCTCGTAGGGCGCTGGAACTCATGACGTCTGGGAACCAGCGAATGCTGCTCCTCGGAGCAATTTCCATGAAAGTATTTGTAGAACAGACAGAAGGAGGCGACAGCGCGTCTGTGAGAAAGTGACTGTAGACGAGACGCCAGGGCAGGGCCAACCACATTGCATATCTGCCTCTGGAGCTTATCAAGAACCCAGAGGCAAACAGAAGGGGCGCCAGACCATATGGCAGCAATACTCCATGCAAGGTCGAATTGTGGATTTGTAGATCTGGAGGATCGACTCCGGGGAGAAAAATTTCCTAGCGCGGCACAGGGAACCAACTTTCCTTGCGGTGACTTCACACAATCAATCTCCATTTGATGACCAACATAGAGTATTTACTACTGTATTTAAGTGAATGGGGACATATCCATTATCGTCCGTAGGTATGCTACAACAGACATCCGTTTTTTATTTATCTATTTGTTAATATTATTTTCTTCTTCATCCTCATCTTCCTTTCTATGATTTTTTATATTTAACATTCACTAGATTTATTCTTTCTTTCTTTCTTTCTTTCTTTCTTTCTTGTCCTGGGTATGACGATAAACTACATTCGGCAGTAAGGTATCTGATCGTAAGCCTGCAGGTTTTAAAGAGCGTGGAACCACCTCCTAATTGTTGTTTTTCCTGGCTCCATTCTAACCCGAGGTAGTAGCACCTGTTAGGGTCTCAAGTATGGGAAAATAGTAAACTCCGCAAAAAAACACTATGAAAAAATAAAAATACATAAAAATAACAATACATATTTATATAAAAAAAATGACAAGAACATATATATTTATAGCAAAATTTCCCAAAATACAATTTTAAAGCAAAATGATCAGCAATATAATTTTATAGCAAAATCACTAACAATAGATTTTATCTGTAGTTGAAGGAATACAAGTGTGTTCAAAATATATATTTTTCGAAACAATAAAATTGTCTTCAAAATATTTAGATTTCGGCATTAAATAACCCATAGAGGTTGATATGCAACTAAACAATTTCAACCAACCAAATTTCTTTCTTTCTTTCTTTCTTTCTTTCTTTCTTTCTTTCTTTCAATGATTTTGGTTTTCTTTCTTCGATTTTGTGTTACTTTCTTCCATTGTGGTTTTCTTACTTTCTTTCTTTCTTTCTTCAATTTTAATTCCTACTTCATATTTCATTGACATAATGGTAAGCGCAATAATTATTGAACAGTCGCAGATTCGTTTATTAAGAATGAAATCGTTGTTTTCTTTTTTTAAAAATAAATACACTTAAATAGATGACGCCATTTAAAAAAATATATTACTGTATTTCTAAAAAAAAACTTTTAAAATATTTCAGAAATGTTAATTTAACTTTATTAGAAATTCAAAAAATTACTATTAAAAATGCTGTCAGCAAAGACAAATATGCAAATTACTAATCGGAGATACCAAAATCAAGCAAGTAAAACAATTTAAATATCTGGGAAGTGTTTTAACAAAGGATAAGCGTGAGTGAGGCGTCGAAATCAAAATACAGGAAAATTTCGTAAGAATGAAAGAAAACAGTACTGAACTGTTATGTAATATCATTCCTCCTATATAACAATGAATGCTAGACAATCTCCTCATAGACAAAGAAGAGACTTGAAATGTTGTTCTATAGAAGGATGCCTTAGAATATCATAGAACCAGAATTTGAGCAACGAAAAAGTTTGGGAGAAATTGGAAATAAAAAGTTCACTTGTATTTAATATCAGAAAGAGAGAGTTGGAATTTCGGTGACACATCATGAGGAAAGAGGACTTAGAAAATTTGGCACTCACAGGATATACTAAGGGCAATAAGGAAAGAGGAAAACAGCGCATAAAATATCTAAGGAGTTTGCGTGAATGGATAGCAGAACAGAGTTTAGGAGAGATAGCCAAAAAAATTATTAAGAACGACAAAGGATAGGAAATTGCGGAGAGCCATGATCGCCAATGTCCTGAAGGGATACGCCACATTGAAAAAGAAGAAGACTGGATAATACACACTGCTGCTTAACGGCCAGTATTCCCACCAACGCAGAGATATGACTGATGACAATGAGACACGAAGTTGTCAAACTTGGCTTTTTGCCGCTATGTCCTACTCGTTTGATATTTATTCCTCCACTTAATACAGTTTCTTACCTTATTTTTTTGTTTTTTCTTCTTCTTTCTTTCGTTCAGTTTATTCAGTCATTTGAGATGGTCTTTTAATTATCCTCTCCTTCTATAGTATATTTTTTTTTCTTCGGCTATCCCCAGGCAGGCACGTTCACGCATAAAACCCGCAAACTTGTAGCGTTATTGGTAGATTTAGAGAGTCGAGCTTAACTTCTAGCCTAGTCTGCGCTTGGTCAAGGCATGAAACCATCTCTTCTCTCCTCAGGTACGGGTTAAATAACATAGTAGACTGCAGGGTAGAATAAATTTATGTGGAATCGTTGGACTAATATTAAGAGGTAAGAGAAAAGAGTGCTTATATACCTATTGTATATCTACGTTTATAGATTTTTGAGAGAGATATTGGTCAAAGATCTATCGAGATGCATAATATGAGAATTCTTCCGCTGGTTTATTTCATCTGTTTTTTTAAAATTAAATCCTATTCTTCTAATTGGAAGAGAAATTGAAAATCATAGAATTCAAGAACATGAATGGTTTAATAAACAAAAGGAACGGAAATATTTCAAACTGTCGGCTAGCTGACGCATTCCCTTTGGAAAACGCGAATAAAGAACTATGGTGTTCGGGAACATCCAAGAAAAACATAGGCCTTTTCAAAAATAGCACACTACATGAAACAAAGTTTCAATAGATAAATAATCAATAATTTTTTTTATTTTTATTAAACTTCTCTTTTAAAAGTATTTAATTTGGAGCACTCTTATATACATAAGAAAAGAACAATAAAAATTTATATATATATATATATATATATATATATATATATACAGTGTAACCCGGATATAAGAGAGTTTTCGGGACCGGAGAAGTCTCTTATATCCGGGTTTCTCTTATATCCGGTTTTGGTCTATTTTATATAAATTAACACAGGCTCTAATTTGGGACCAGAGAAAATCTCTCTTATATCCAGGTTTCTCTTATATCCGAGTCTCTTATATCCGGGTTACACTGTATATATATATATATATATATATATATATAAATATAAAAGTGAACATAGAAGTCAACACTTAGAGGCGACAGTCTGACGATTGCATATAGCATGAAACAGACTGTTGCCTCTAAGTGTTCACTTTTATATTTACACACGCTCTATCTCTGATATTGAGCACTTTATTCCATAAATATAGCACACCTTAAGACTATATTTCTTTATATATATATATATATATATATATATATATATATATATATATGTGTGTGTGTGTGTGTGTGTGTGTGTGAGTATGTAAATTGCATATTTGGGCAGCAACCTTTCTTTCAAACGTGTTTTTCTTTGAATATGGGAGACGAGAAAAATTTGATGATTTTTATATTTAGTTTTTTTCTTTCTTACATTTTCCCGTTTGGTGGGTGTAAAAGAGGGCAATATGTATATATATATATATATATATATATATATATATACTAGTACAGGATTGGTAGACATGGGATAAAAATTCCAATAACCAAAAACTATTCTTAATAGAATGCTCAATACCAAGTACAGCTAATATTATTTATTCAAATTTATAACATATGCATTTTATAAGATCACTACAAATGTTGCAATTTTGTTTCAACACTGCTGGTGTCTTATCAAGTGATGATGTTGAATGGAAAATAAACGATTTTAAGAGTTCAAAAACCCACCAAACCTCCTCAGTAGGGAAAACATTGTTTCGTAATCTCTGATGACCAATCAGAATACAAGTATATGGTAATTTAAAATAACATGTCAACATACTCTAGTATAAGTACAATCTATTAGTGTATTAAATTAAGATTATTTTTTAATTAGAAATCAATAGAAAAATTAAATTTAACAGTTGATTTTAAAAAATAAAAATTCAAATTTCAAATTCTAAAGTTAACCAAGCATCAAATTTAGATTATTCAGAAATGATATATATATATATATATATATATATATATATATATATATATATATATATATATATATAAATTATTATTGTACTCAAAATGCCAAGAAAAAGTGGATTTATTAGTGCGTTTATTACTGGATTTTAGGGAGTCCGATTATTTGCATATTTGTATGTGTTTGTGATTGCTTGCATATGCTTTTTTATTTGTCTATACGTAAGTTTGACAAAATTTTCTTTTGCGTTTTTTATACGTGTGTTTGTCTCCATTTTTATTCTTTTTTATTTTTATTTTCTATTTTATTTTTTTATATTTCTCTTTCCTCTATTTCCTGTGTAAATGAATATACTTACCTGTATTGGCGTGCTCATATGTTTACCTGTCTTTACTTATACATATGTGTTTGTGTATTATTATGTGTTTGTCCTGTCATTTGAAAATTTCTTTCCCTTCCTACCTACTTATTTGAATTCTGATTTCCAGGAATCAGATATGTGTAGCGATCAGAGATACTTTTTTTATTTTTTATTAGCGTTTAACTTCACTGATAAATTGTCATTTTGTGAACAATAATAATTTATATATATTTTTTCTCCTGGTTTCATTTCTGAATAATTGGAAAAATACAATAAAAGTATATCAGGAACAAAACTATGTATAATCAGTCCGATATTAATACTTTGTTTTGTTCAGATGATTTTGACCGTTTCAGTTTTCAAGGTATGGTCTATATGACTGTCAGGATTTTCTTGAGAAAAAAATCCTGCTTGTCAGTAGCAGTGAACTACAGAAATGAATGACTTTCTGAAGAAAATTAACTTCTCTGTAGTTTTCCTTTGTTTTATTATCGTTAATTTTGGCCAGTCCTTGTGTTGGTCAAACGGCCTCTTTTGAGTTGTTTTTAAGATAGAGGCTGGGGAGATTCATGAGCTGCAGAATTCCCTTTTTAGTTATTTTGACAGTTCTATTGGTTGCTGGGAGGGGGATGTGTGCATTAGGTGTATGTTATCTTTTAGTTCTCTATCTATCTATCTCTATCTATCTATCTCTATCTATCTATCTATCTATCTATCTATCTATCTATCTATCTATATCTCTCTCTCTCTCTCTCTCTCTATATATATATATATATATATATATATATATATATATATATAATAGGACAAATTGTGAAAAAAAGATTTTGTGACGCGTTTCATCCATCGGGATCTCATCGGACTCAATGAAACACGCCACAAAACTCTTTTCCAATTTGTCCTATTATATATATATATATATATATATATATATATATATATATATAAACGTGTAACAGCAAAATTGTCCAAATCGTGTAGCAGCATTCATCATAGAGCTAATTACAATCTTATTGTTCAAAGTAGAGTCCAATAGTTTTATAAAAACCTCAGAGAATTACAGTAAGATATCTTTAATTATTTCTAAGATACGACAGTTCAAAGCTTAATCCAACAATTGGACAATTTTGAAGTTACAGATTTTGGACAATTTTGCTGTTACACCCACTATATATAAACTTTGTGCCTGATAATGCAACTTTAAGTAGCGTAGAGCAGTAAGGAACAAAGTAACAGCTATATAATTTCCCTTTAATACATATTCCAGCTCTTATAGTACATTGTGCCCTATTCAATTAGACTCAGCACTCACTATACACTATTATCCGAGGGTTGTCATCGACGGACCAAGATACTCTCAGAGAATGTGATAATATGATGTTTATTTCTTAACATAATCCACGTTGCAGTCTACACACTTCTTACATTGGTGTTCCTATTGGTGAAGACGTCAATAGCAGAAGATATAACGTCATCATCATTGTGATATTGATTTTGGAGAGAAATCAGGAGAATATAGAAAGGGATCAACCAGCTCAAAGCCATAGTCACGAACAGAAGCCATTGAAAGCATGACTTGTGTGCTGGAACATTGTCCTCATGAAAGAATACCCTTTCGTTAGTTTTTTTTTGGGGGGGGGCGTGTTGTTTTCGTAACTGCCTCATTGATGGGATGACCCCTTTGAGGATATTAACAGACAATAATCCTATTGACTTTCGCATACCAAAAACTGAGGCCATCATCTTTTCTGAAGATGAAATGACATTGGCCCTCTTTGGAGCAGATAAGGAGGGGCAATTCCATTACATCGACTGTCTCTGGCTCACAGTGATGAAATCAACAAACACCCTGGGTTGGGAAAACCAGCTGGATTTACCTCAGACGATGTCAGATTTCCCCGTGGGGCGCTTTTTGTCAAGATGTGGTACCTACCGAGTAGAAACCTTCGTCATCTCAAGTTCATTGTGATGATTATTCTCAAACTCACGGAATATTTCAATAGCATTGGCTATTTGATTTATTGTCAATCGCCTGTCATTTATCACCATGTGGTGAACACGATCAATGTAATCTTCGGTGGTGGCATTTGTAGGATTTTCAGACATTGGGTTATAGTCAAGGCTCACCCTTCCCCTCTTAAATTCAGTTGCCCACATTTGCACAGTTGATAAAGCTTGAGCAGCATCCCCTAATGTAACAACCCTATCAGCAGGAATATCCTTGGGGACTAAATACATTTTCTGCAGGTACTTGATAACACCATAATGCTAAATTTTGTCCATTTACAAGAGAATTCGCTACTAGTTAGATTTATTATTAAGAAGAATTGAAATTAATACCTGGAAGCTTTCTTTGTCGGCTCAGGAACTTTTCACCCCATCTTCGTATATATATATATATATATATATATATATATATATATATATATATATATATATATATATATTAAGAAATGGACAAGGTCCGACAATTTATTTATTAAAGACATATTTTATGTTTAACGTTGTTATTTCATAGATACGGAACCGTATTACGCTTAATATGTAGCTTAAGCTAAGGCACGTCAGCGTATATGACGGTTCCGTATAGGATGCAGGTTCGAATTTGCCTGAAAGAACGAAAATTTTCATGAAAATTTTCGTTCATTCAGGCCGGTAAATGTTATTTAATACTGTTTATCATAAACAGAGCATTTGCTTAAAATACTTGTATCTATGAAATAACAACGTTAAACATAAAATATGTTTTAATAAATATATATATATATATATATATATATATATATATGTGTGTGTATATAAATATGCATATATATGTGCTCATATATATATATATATATATATATATATACATACATATATATATATATATATATATATATATATATATATATATGTTAAAGGTGCAATTATAATTTATAAATTCATGAATCATTCATACAAAAAACAAATATAGAGGTTAATGATTTAAATGGTTGGTGTACCTTATTTATATTGTTTGCGAAGATGTATTCTCGCCATTAAAATCATTAACTTCTATATTTGTTTTTGTATGAATGATTCATGAATTTATATATATATATATATATATATATATTAAATAAATGGTGAAGTGTATATAATATTATAAAGAGGTAATCATACAAAGAATTAATTAGTAAAGTTAATGTAATTAATAGCGGAATCTCTTCGCTAACAAATTTAATAGAGCATTAACTTAGTAACCATTGGTTGAATGACGCGATCCTTATGTTTAAAATTTTAAGATGGATTTGACGTTCCAGTGCTGCTAGTACTTTCGAAAATCATCACATAATCCAAGCCTTTTGAGTGAAATTAGGTAGACGGAACCCTTGGGTGTCGTCGATAGTTGTGCTAGTCACAAGTCATCGTGGCCAAGAACTTGAGCGTGCTAGCCTTGCTCAAATTGTTGATCACGTTAGATAACACGATTTTTCCCAGAAACTGTAACTACGGTCTGCTCAGCATAGTTGCAGTATAAACCACGGGTGGGTGTTGAATAAACACAAATGCGCCCGAGTAAACGTCTGCAATAGGGACTGGCTAGCAGATGGTGGTGACCAGCTATATATATATATATATATATATATATATATTACAAGGAGATATTGTCAATTAACAACCACAATCTACAAAACCTCATCAGTAAGTGTTGTGTTTTTGGTAGGCTATTACGGTAGTTTGAATGACATTTGCCTGTTAGTCATCCACTCATTCCACTGTTCTCGAATGCGATCTTTAAACGACTTAGTGAGACACACATCCAGTTGTGTTTTTGTTCAACTATTCAGATATTTGTGTTGATAGTTACAAAAGCTGGGTTTAGGCTATCGTCAAAAATCTCCCATGCTGAGAACTTCCCATAAATTACAGGATTTAAAGTGCACATTTTATACCTGCATGGAGAGTGGGTAAGATTAAAAAGTTGCCTTGTATGCCGACATATACGATAATAATTTTAATGCGAATTTTCGGCTTGAAGCCCGTAGAATAGATAGTCCAAAACTTGTTAATGAGGACAATGAGATAAAAAAAAAAAGAAAAGAAAATGAGATCGTCTGTCCAATCAGCTCATAGAAAGTTAGACGCTGAACACGCTTTTTTCCAGAATGAAATATTTATGGACATATCGGTAGATATTGTTACATTATTTTCTTGATCCGATCAATGTGTGCGTGATGCTGTGAAGAGACCAAGCGTTTTTACCCTTTGTTTATTTCGTGCGTCAAACAGCATTTACTATATTTTATTGACGTTCATTAGGAATTGTTTTATTTGAATGAAAAGAAAAGAAAATCGATGAGGAAACGATATCGTTTTATATTGACACAATGTTGCGAGATCAGAAGAGAACATTACGAGTAAGTATCCATGCAGAAAGCAAATAAAAAAACCTTTCCCATTTGTTGTTACAATCACCGTAATTAAACGTTTGCAAGTGTATTGTGGGGGTGTCATGACTGCGGGAAAATATCTTGCAGAGTTCTGTTTTTTTTTGTTGTTTTCAATAGCTTCGCTTTACATTTTCTCCCTCATATATGTATCACACACACACACACACACACACACACACACACACATATATATATATATATATATATATATATATATATATATATATATATATATATATTCATAAAAAAACAAATATAGAGGTTAATAATTTAAATGGTTGGTGTACCTTATTTATATTGTTTGCGAAGATGTATTCTCGCCATTAAAATCATTAACCTCTATATTTGTTTTTTGTATGAATGATTCATGAATATATATATATATATATATATATATATATATATATATATATATTGTCATCCATAGACAGACTGTTCCGAATATATATATATATATATATTATAAATTAATTGATTTAAAATATGGTCTTTTTCCGCTACACAGTTCTAACCATGTTTCAAAAATGGAAGCTAAAAGCCACAAATTTAATTTTGTAATTAAATTAAAGACATTAGTTCCATTTCTTCCTCAAGCGAATTTTGGAGTAACTTTTAAAATTACTGTGTTTTAAAGACACAGCTAAAATCCCGTTTCCATGGTTACAGATAAATCTACTTCAATTGGACAAGGGTTATCTGGGTTTTCCTTATGTCTGTATCATTGTATCGGTTATTAGCTACAATTTGGTAAGGGGTAGAGATGTATTTTTCGATGAGAAATGACATCCGTTGAATGCATGTCGTCTGGATTTTTTTTTATTATTTATTGTTAACGGCAAAAAAATTCTTACGGCATTTTTTTTCCTATTTGTAAATTTGTAAATACAACTTTAAAATATTTTCACTGTTATTCCAATAGACTTTTTTCTTTTTTTATAAAATATTTTAAATCAATTAATTTATAATATATATATATATATATATATATATATATATATATATATATATATATATATATATGCAGCGTAACAGTCTGTCTGTGGAGGACAATATATATATATATATATATATATATATATATATATATATATATATATATATATCCTAGGCAACATCCTGTTGCCTAGGATCGATACCTGACTGAATTGGCATCAGTCAGGGATTTAAGTGATTGAGAGAACTCGATTCGATATACCGAACAGTTTTTTGCATTATTAGCCGTAATAGTCACTGTTTACAAACCCACACTTATATTATTCGTCTTCAGTCGCTTTGTCTTTCATTTTTGTCATCAATATACTTTATCTTCTATATAATAAATGCGAATGTGAGTGTTTCACAATTTTCAACTTTACTCCAAGAGGCTGTAGCCCAACATTTACCATTTTGGAATCAGGC